CATGACAATGATTAACTCTCTCGGATTATTATATTATAATCCACGCTATATATTATAAACAAATAAATACGCAAAAAAAACACATCTGTATAGGCCTATGTGCCTTTTGGATAGTTTTTACGTGGGAAATACATCTGCTTTGCTTTACGGTTGTTGTAAAAGTTTTAAAACTGTATATATACAGTTTTAAAACTTTTACAACAACCGTAAAGCCTACTTTACAACTGTATTGTGCCTACATAGTGTTATAATAAGACATATTTAAATAAGTGTATCGCTCGCGTACAAATAGCCCACTTATCTTAGTAATAGACGACAGAAATGAGGCGAGGGACAAGTCTATATGCCTGGAAGTTTCATCATGGATTCAACATTCAATTTTTTTTTTTTTTTTTGTTTTGTTACGAAGTACAGCAAAAGCAGCCCATACAGTCATTATCTGCTATAAATTTTAAGGAGTGTAAATACTGCAGTTATGACAGAGTTAAATGTGTTCAGATGAAGAAAAAACGACAAAAAATCTATTTATCACGATAAAATGACAGTTAATATGTATGTATTTTTACACATTTATTCACATGCATGCATTACCGAGAGCAGGAAAAAGACTGCACTGGAAAGCATCGTCATAATATCGCTTAATTAAAATATATGATCAACAAATGAATGGGCCTTGACAGTCTTTACAAGTGAAGACATTATCTACACACAATCTGAATCCCCAATGAGAAAAATACTACAGAACTATAAAATACTATTCATAAAAATACTTAAATCACAGACAAATCCAAATGCCCAACACAAGCGAGCTGCGCTCCAGACCAGATCAACTCGATGATGTATAATGTCCCCGACATCGCCTGTAGTCCCATTTAGCAACTTGAAAGCAGCTGTCTTTTTTTAAGAAGCATAACCGATTAAATAAATCAAGAGAGTGATGTAGCTGATGTGTTTTATGTTGTAGAACAAAACGTGAAAGTATCTTGAGTTGGTGTTAGCCACGGACCTTATTTAAGTGATTTTACTGAAACCCCATTCAAAAAACCCATTGACTCTGGGACGAGGGAACCGAACTGCTAAAATGCTAACTAGCTTCTGGTTTTTTGTATACAAATTGACGTCATAGTTCCTCCACTCTATACACTTAAAGACCTTTCTTAAGACTCTATCCATCCATTTTAAGACCTCAACCCCACTTTAGGTTTCAACCGGTGATGTTGGCGACTTGCTGCATACTTACTAAATACTGATTGCAAGAGACTAATCCTAAATAAACGTTATTCATACACTGAATAAAACTGCTAATCCAGCAGGTGGCGCCTATAGAACAGCAGGAATAATAGTGTTGCCTTTGTTACTGCAGCAAACAAACCAGCGTGATGTTAAATCTAGCAGGATTTGATCGATTTTATAAACTAAACAGCATGCCAATATTTGCAGATTCAATTGTGGCACACTTTAGCATAGTGATACAAAATTGAATACCTTGTAAAATACCATTTGAGGCTTTTTAAGGCCTAAATTTATCTTAATTGGCGTTAACAAATTTAAATACCTTTTAAGAGCCTGCAGATACCCTGAATATACATTCATTCACTCATTCATTTTCTTTTCAGCTTAGTCCCTTTATTAATCTGTCGTCGCCACAGCGAAATGAACCGCCAACTTATTCAGCATATGTTTTACACAGCGAATGCCCTTCCAGCTGCAACCCATCACTGGGAAACATCCATACACACTCGTACACACATTCCCTAAGGATAATTTCGCTTACCACATGTCTTTGGACTGTGGGGGAAACCGGAGCACCCGGAGGAAACCCTCACAAACACGGGAAGAACATGCAAACTCCACACAGAAATGCCAACTGACCCAGCCAGGGCTCGAACCTGCAACCTTCTTGCTGTAAGGCAATTGTGCTACCCACTGTGCCACTGTGCTGCCCACCCTGAATATTATTAGCTTTAATCCGCAGCTTGGTCAAACGTCATCAAAAGCGGACTACAATTGGACTACATTCACACACGCGCTGAGATCTGTTTGACCAGGCAGTGGATTAAAGCTAATGATACTTTAAATAATGTTCAATTTCTCTCACAAACCAGTCGTTTGGCTTCTAAAGACCTCAGTGTGTCATCAGGAGCCATAGCTATTGATTTGGACTCGCTTGTATGTGTTTATTTTTTTTATCTAAAAACCTTTCCCATTCGCTGCCATTATATAAACCACCAAGCACCACAGATACAGCAAAAAAAAATTCACCAACATCTTGGATGACCTTTGACTGAGTAAATTAACTTTCTTTTTTTTATTTAGGATTGAACTATCCCTTTTAAGGATATAAAGAAAGGCGTACCTTAGTAACCTGACTGATAAAATACTGTATGCATAGATATAAAGCAACATTTATATGCTAAGAAACATTACAGGAAGTTGCAGAAATCATTTGAGAATCATTCTCAAATCTGCATTAACTTTTGATGACAGCATGCTTGTTTGTGTGAGATTATTACACAATCCAAAAATATACATTTATTTTATTTTAAAAGCCCTGTTCAAGGTATGGAGGCTGATTTCTGCCACAGAATAAAAGGTCACTTTCTATGTCCCAGTTATATAAATTGTAAGATGTTGTATATATTGTAGGAAAAGTCTAAACTATGCAATAAAATTCAAGCGAACAACTAACCAATAAATTATCTAAAAAACTAAAAAATAAAAATTGAGCAAAAACTTTGATTTTCCCTTACAAAGTTCTTTTCCTGCACAATTATAATTTCAGTATTATAATGTAATTCTAACTTAGAATTGTGGTTTCAAATCTGGCAATTCTTGAGGAAAAAAACTGAATTTTAATATATAAACATCGAGAATAGAGCCCGAATTGTAAAGTGCAAGCTTCAAAACATATTCCCTATTGCGCAATGTAAAGTCTGATGTTCAAGGCGTACTGTAAGTTCTAAACAAAATATTAACAAAAAAGGGTGAATTGTGAGACCTAAAGTCTAAACTATGAAACATAAATAGTACATTGTAAGATTTAAAGTGTGAATTTTGAGAAGTAAAGTTTGAATTGTGAAATGTAAAGTGTAAATTGTGAGGTAAAAACAAACAGATTTAAAGTTTAAATTCTGAGATTTAAAAAACAAAATGCAAGACAAAAAGTGGATTGCGAGACAAATTGTAAATAGCAAGATGTAAAGTCTAAATTAAGAAAAGCTAAATTTAATTGTTATGTAAAATGTGAATTGTGAGACGTAAATGTGTGAATTACGAGCTGCACATAGTACATTTGAGATGTAAACTAAATTGTGAGAAGTGAAGAGTGAATTGTGAGCCATAAAGCGTGAATTGTAAGACGTGCATACATTTTAAAATGTAAATAGTAAATTGTGAGGCGTAAAGTGTGAATTGCGAGACATATAATGTGTATTTCAAGATGTAAATAGTAAATTGTGAGGCATAAACTGTATGAATTGCGAGCTGTAAAGTGTAAATTGCGAGCCGTAAATTGTGAATTGCGAGCCGTAAAATGTGAATTGTGAGCCGTAAAGTGTGAATTGTGAGCCGTAAAGTGTGATTTGCGAGCCCTAAAGTTTGAATTGCGAGCCCTAAAGTGTGAATTGTGAGCTGTAAATTGTGAATTGAGAACCGTAAAGTGTGAATTGCGAGCCATAATGTGCGAATTGCGAGTCGAAAAATGCAAATTGTGAGACGTACATAGTACATTTTAATACGTAAATGGTAAATTGCAAGACGTACTGTAAAGTGTGGATTGCAAACCGTAAAAAAAATTGGGAATTGCGAGCCATAAAAAGTACATTTTAGACGTACATACTAAATTGTGAGACGTAAAATGTGTGAATTGCGAGCCATGGAGTGTGAATTGCGAGACGTAAAGTGTAAATTGCAAGACGTAAAATGTGTGATTGCTAACCCTAAAGAGTGAAACGTGACACATAAAGTGTGAATTCTGAGACGTAAATAAATTATTAACAATAATAACAAAATTATATAATAATATTTTTGAAATAAACAGAAAATTGCGCAGTGTTAAGAGTGAATTGCGAGACATAAAGTGTAAATTCTAGGTCATAAATAGTAAATTGTGAGCTACAAATAGTAACTTTTGAGTGTAAATTGCGAGAGGTAAAGTGTGAATTGTGAGACGTAAAGTGTGAATTGTGAGACGTAATGTGTGAATTGCGAGACGTAAAGTGTGAATTGCGCGACGTAAAGTATGAATTGCGTGACGTAAAGTGTGAATTGTGAGAGATAATGTGTGAATTGCGAGACGCAAAGTGTGAATTGTGAGCCGTAAAGTGTGAATTGCGTGACGTAAAGTGTGAATTGTGAGAGATAATGTGTGAATTGCGAGACGCAAAGTGTGAATTGCGTGACGTAGAGTGTGAATTGTGAGCCGTAAAGTGTGAATTGCGAGCCGTAAATTGTGAATTGTGAGCCGTAAACTGTGAATTGTGAACCGTAAAGTGTGAATTGCGAGCCGTAAATTGTGAGTCGGAAACTGTGAATTGTGAATCGTAAAGTGTGAATTGCGAGCCATAATGTGCGAATTGTGAGTCGAAAAGTGCGAATTGTGAGACGTACATAGTACATTTTAAGACGTAAATGGTAAATTGCAAGACGTACTGTAAAGTGTGGATTGCGAACTGTAAAAAAAGTGGGAAATTGCATGTTATAAAGTCCAAACTGCAAAACAAAGTCCAAACTACAAGATGTAAAAAAAAAAAAAAAGTCCAAACTTTGGCAAAAAAAAAAAAGAATTGTTAGACGTAAGGTCCAAAATGCAAGACCTAACATTTGAACTATCAGCATAATGTCATAAGAAATATTAACTCAAAATTGTAAGATACCAACTTTTAAAAAATATGTCATCATCTCACAATATAGACACATCTTCTTAGGACTGCAGGTTTATATCTATATCTATATTTTTAAATTCCATGGTGAAAATAAGCTTCCATAGCAATGAACTCGTAACCTAGTTAAGACAAGGAAGCACTAAACATTTTAAAGCCAAGACATGTAAAGTATTCTAACTCAACACCTGTGTATAATGTCTTTATCATATTATTTGGTACAGTACTAATAATGACCAATCACTTTTATGAATTCAGTGTATTTTACTGGCTCTACAGGTTCAATTTCTCCCTTACAGCTTTAATATGATTGTCAGCTCTGCACCATTTCATCATCTAAAAAAAAATTCATCTGAACATAAAGTTAGCATTTAACCAGAAAATCCTGACTTTTTTAAAATGTTTGTGTGAACTATCCCTTAAATATTTGACATGTGCTTTAAAAAACTCACAATTAAAAACCGTACCTGCGTCTAATAAGTCGATTCATTCAAGTAAAGGTTCGTCATCACCATCATCGTCCAACTCCAAACGGGCGAACGGACGTGGAGAAGAAACATTCCTGTTCTTCATCAGCTTGAATAGACAAGTGAAGGTGGTCAGGATTATTAAAACCCCCATGACGAGGCCCACTGCTAACGCTAGCTCTCCGCACTGCTCGTTGACTAGTGTACAGCGAACGTGAGCGAAGCTGCCATTGTTAGCCTTTGGAGGGATCCCAATGAGATGACACATGAGTGGATAAAGATCCACGCTGTTAAAACTCGACATCTTATAACCTTTACGAAATGCAGGACCATGGGCGGCCAGGAAAGGGTGCATGCTGGGAAGCGTGTTGTCATAGCCATGATCTCCCACTGCAAAAGACAAGAAAGTTAAGGTACTGTTTTGAAAGAAACACTTCACTTTTTTTTTTGGAAAATAGCCTCATTTTACTAGTCCCATAAGGGAGTTTTACCATTTTTTTATCTATTTAGCTGATCTCCAGTTTTGGCAGCAGCACTTTTAGCTTAGCTTAGCATAAGTTATTGAATCGGATTAGACCATTAGCATCTCATTACAAAATGGCCAAAGAGCTTTGATAAGTTTCCTATTTAAAGCTTGACTTGAAATAATAAATAAAAAATAATCAAGGATCTTTCCTGCTCATTCATTGCTGCAGCAGGTAAAATGATTTTTAAGCGCTGTGTAATATCATTGTGCCTACTCCAGCCGGATTCCTTTATTATTATCCTAAAATGAAAGTATAGTTCCAGGCCATATCGGCCTAGATAATAGTAACTTTTTATTTTCTGTCAGTCTTAGTACATGATGAAACTACAGAAGAGTCAAGCTTTAAAAGAAAATTATTGAAACTCCTTGGTCGTTTCAGCAAGATGCTAATGGTCTAATCCGATTCAATTATCTATGCTAAGCTAAGCTAAAAGTGCTCCCAATAGGGAAAATCGATTCAGACACGCATAAAATGCATTGATCCTATTGAAGCCCAGAAATTATGCTGAAAACATCACAATTGTAAATTTTAAATGGATAATTCTAAGCACAAAGTCTAAAGGGTATGGTGCAAAAGCATAGGGTGTGTCCAAGTCCACTTTTGCTATTTTAAAGGACGGAAAAATAGGCTCTGTGCCCTAGCGCATAGTCTAACAGTGTTGTGCTTATTCTCTTAATGAGTTATGGGTGTGTTTTGAGCATAACGTGCATTAAACCAATCAAAGTCTCATCTTCCATTCATTTAAGAGTCGTTGCCAATTGGTGCATTTGCTATTTACATGGCGGACTCTGTAAGTGGAAAAACTGAACGCTTCACTAGCGAGAAAACAGTTAAACAGAGCATCTGCAGCACAAAGATAAAGAACAAGCCTCCTCCATTTAGACTCTACTTTCTCTTTCATTTTAATTTTTATTTTCGTGGAATAAGGAAACGGTGTTGTAAACACTCTGCTAAAGACATCCATTAGGCTACATATTTTAGTTTTAAAACTATTTCTAAATTCAGTTCTTATTTCCTGCAAACTAATAAATAAACAAAAATAACAAAGTGTGCTCAAAAACACTGAGTTATATCCAAACACACGTCCTGTTCTTATGACCCATATGGTGATTCAGACGTCTCCAAAACGCGACAGGTGGACAAATCTAAACTGGTTTTAATTAAAAGCAGATATAAATTAGCATATAATAAATACTACTACTAATAATAATGTTATTATACAAATGCAAATTGTCATGAATAAACTGAAAAAAGCCCCTCCAACATGAAGGCATGTTGAAGGCACACCTCCTTTTTAGACCAGCACACCCATGAGTCCAGAAAGTGGCGCAAATGGATTTGCTATTTAAACAAAACGTTAAAAATTACTGTTCTACAAAACCTGTTCTAGTAAATACAATAACAAAATATTTTAAGACAGCATCATAACGGCCTCTTTAAAAGTACTGTAAGAGGCTAAATTATCAGATGCATTTGTTTATAATACAAAACATGCTTTTTCACCCAAGAAGGTCCATACTGACTACAAAGGCAGATACTGATAAGATCAGGGCCTGTTGTGTGGACTTTGGGGGTTTTATGGTGTGGTCACATGTTGATTGGTCAGTTTGAATGTCTCAGCATTGGTGGTCACATGGTCAAGAAAGATACAAAATAGGTGGTAAACTCTGGCTCTGTCTCTTTTTCCTGCCTCTCTTTTCCTGGCCTGGTTCTCTCCTGCTCTGCTCCTCTCCTCCTCTGGAGTCTATCTTCTCTGACTCTACTGCTATTAGGCTTTTGGGCCTACTCTCTTTGTCTCTCTCTCCCTCCCTCTGTGTCTCTCCTTCTACCTCTGGTAACTTTAATTTTACATTTAAGCCGGGTACAATTTATACCATATGTTTTATCATTTCATATTTGATCATTTTATACAGTATTTTGTTATTAATTCAGTTGTAACCATAGAGATTTATTGTCATTAAATCATTTCATTTTCAAGTATTTGTGAATTACTTTTGATTTAACATCAACACTTAATTGTTCCATATAGCAATACAATACAATCACATAATATCAACGCTCTCCCACATTTATAGCTATTAATACTGCCCTTATTTCCGTTTTTGGTATGAGATTGCAGAAGAATGGTTTGACTAGAAATGTACAGTTTTTTACCATCATGCTGATCCTTTTTTAGTCGCTCGGCAAAACTACAGTTCGAACCGCTGTGGTTTAAAGACCGTTCTTACAGTACAATGGCAAAAATAATACCTTCTCTGTGCCACTCTGAAAGAGTCTTCTTTTAAAGTACAGTACATTTGATTACGCAGCGACAATTAATCAATTAATTCTGAGAAGAATATTAAATACTAAATCTCTTCAACATGGAAAGATTTATCAAAAATGAAATGATTCATAACATTAGACCTTTAATGAAGACTTACATCGTGGAAGTCTGCCATTTTTGACAATCGTCCAGCCTTCATCCGCCACTAAAATGATTGGCTGAATCCTTTCATTGTTTTTATAGTGCAGCCTATCGGGAACATCATTCTTCATGTACGCCTTCAAGTGAACATGACAGCTGGACAGGTTGTTGTACACAGTTGTTTTATCTGTGAATTAAAAAGAAAGAAATATGAGAAAATTGCAGGTGTAAATGAAATCTGTAGACATTTCTATGCTGAAACTGTAATGAAAATGTGGGAATCTGAGAAATGACTAGGGGTCTGTTCTTCGTAGCTCACTTAAATGATCTAAGATGATTAAGCAGATCCTGGATCTTTTAATCTTGATAACTGATCTCTAGCTAATTTGGTTCTTCAAACCAGTTCGTGAATCAGATTAAAATGTCAGGATGAACTGATCTGAGATAGCTGCGCTTGTTATGAAGGACAGATCTATCTATCCTCAAAATCATGATCAGCAATGCAACGATTGGCTGACTGCACAGCAGTGTAATGACATCATCTGATTAATATTCAATTATCCATGTGCAAATTACATAAAATTACATAAATTACACAAAATTCGCAGTAAACGGTTTGTTAAATGATACGCAATAACTTTACACCTTGTTGTGGGCTGCATGCTTGGCCCTTTCATGTGTCAAGAGCAATTTATTTAGTTTTACAGTTAGAGCGGATTTTCCGTATAGTAGCCGAAGTAGTATTATAGTAGCCGTTTTTTTAATCGGTGTAAAGAATAACTGGATGTTTACAAAAGCATTTTGATATTGGTAAAGGCGTCTGCAACTTTTATGAAGCATCAAATCACCGTCATTTTAACTGTCAAAGTCGGCGCCAATAGCCAAGTGGTTAGTGCGTCGACACATGGCACCGAAGTGCTCGCAGCGACCCATGTTCGATTCCCGTCTCGAGGTCCTTTGCTGATCCTTCCCCTATCTCTGCTCCCACACTTTCCTGTCTCTATATCTCCACTGTCCTATTAATAAAGGTGAAAACCCCTAAAAAAAAATAATTATATTAACTGTCAAAACATGTTTATGATTCATAACTGCATAAATTTATTATTCCTTTAAAAAAAGTTATATATTGTGCATGTCTATTATCATACTTAAATTGTACTAAAGCTATCTAAAAAGTTCATATCAGTAAGTTTTCTCTTTGCACGACCAGGTGACAGCCTTTGTACTTTCATTTCGGGGGTGCAGATTAAATAAGTTTAATTTTATATATATATATATATATATATATATATATATATATATATATATATATATATATATATATATATATATTTTTTTTTTTTTTTTTTTTTTTTTTTAACTTAATATGTATAGTTAAAAAATATTTACTATTTTCCCAAGTGTATATAGATTACTACTGTAAGAAAGTATCAGAATTCGGTACATATTTTCTGCATTATCTTTGCTTGAACTGACCCGATCTAATCCTGTTTATTTGAAATGAGCCTGCTCCCGACCAGGTTTGATCTTACCAGAACTGTTGCTATGACAACATCTCTCGGATCAGTTTTGAAGAACGAAACGATCCTAGATCTTGTCAAATCGTCAATAACCAAATCCAGTTAACTGAGTAATCCACGTACATAGAACGGACCCCAGGCCTGTCATGATAAGGAATTTTTGTTGTGTGTTATATTGTAGGGCTGGGCGATACGGCAAAAATGCAATCTCGAAAATTATTTTCCATATTGAACAATAACAATATATATTTCGATATAAGTCATTAATGCTACCAGATTTGGGAGTATCCCATGACTGAAGCCACTAAAATTAGAGGGTCCATTAAATATTATAACATTTTACAATATTTCAGAATTCGATATAATATCGTATATCAGCCCAGTACTAATATATTGTCACAAAAATTGCGGAAACAAAACCGTAATCTTCAGCGCGTCACTTAACTAAACTTCACAACTACTCTAAAAACATAACTACAAGTTTGGCAATGCCTCCATAAACTAAGAGAAAAATACTATGCTGCTCAAAAACACTAGATTTCTCGTAAAGTACACACTGTTAGCCATTAGCAAAACAAGAACTTACCTGATAATCCAATTCTCATAAAGATTGTTCAACTTCTCAATAAATACTAAATTGAGCTGCACAAGCTTATGCTATAAATTGATCAATCGATCGACTCTAGACAACAGAAGCAACAACAACAACAGCAAAATTATACAAACACAATGTGATTTTGGCGGTGAGCCAAGCACTCCTCCTGAACAGCATCATGATGGGGATTGACAGCTTTTTCGACCAATGGTTGCACACCTAGAACAGGGCAGGCCAGCCTGTTCAGTGTTTTTCAAAATGTACATTTGTTTTGAGCTTCGTAAAAGTGTTTTACACTTTGTATTGTTTTTTTGCACTTCCCGCCCACCATAGTAAACCGATGACCTTCACGGCCAATCACAGTCATTTCTGTTGAGCACATGAACACAACAGCCAATCAGCAATGTTTAAGAACGTGCTCAACAGCGTTTAAATGTAAACCGGAAATTGACACTTCTTTAAACTCAGTATTGATTAGTACCAAACTCAGGCCCCGTTTTAGTTTGAAAACGCATAAGTTTTGCTATGGTTACGCCATCCGTCCACACTACGCCGGAGTTTTCGAGCGCCGAAAACGGAACGTTTTGGAAACGCTGAAGAGGCTGTTTTCATTCTAAAACGCTGCTGCTCCGTCTCAGTGTGGATAAGAGAAAACGGAGACATATGAAAACGGAGGCGGGGCTGCTGAGATTCGCTACCTGATTGGGGCTTTTGTGTCATTACGTATCCTTCCCTTATTCGTCAAGCCCCTATCACATGACTATAACACATGGCTTTAACGCTACCGGAAGACAGCAGACCAGTCTTCACTGTAAACAACAACATGGACACAGAAATGGGAGTGTTGTTTGCACTATTGTCTGTTTTAGGCGCCATTGTGCAGTTATTCATTTGTTAAGTTTAGTGAAAACTCGACCTCGTCGTCTGTCCACAAAAATACCTTTCTTGCTTGCTTTGCCATTGCGTTCGTTGTTCAACCGGCGTTTGTTGACTAACAATAACCAAATGGCAAGCGTAACACATGCTTTGTTTATAGTTGAAGGTGCATGCCCAGAGTGCACGAATGGTCACGTGATATACGTTTTTGGTGGCGTAGTGTGGACGGAGATATGTTCAGAAACGCTAGTTGAAACTTTAGTGTGGACGCGAATCGTTTTTGATCTAAAGTGCCGTTTTAGTGTAAACGGGGCCTCAATACTTTAGACAACCCTACCCTACTATTCACTACATGGTTCAGTTAAAAGTTGGTGTCCTTTGGGATGCAACTTGTGTGAGACTATTCATAAGCCAATCAGATTCAAGCACTCAACAGCCCCATAAATAATGAAAGCAGTACCTTCCAGTGGTATAATAGCAGCCACAGGAGTGAGATCAACCAGTGTGTAGCTGCTAGGACTGACGCAATCATCCAGCCTAATGATCCGCTCTTCCGAACACTGGGCCATACCATGATCACTAGTGATGATGACGTTTATCTTCCCCCATAATTCCATTCTGTCCAGCTCCTCCATTAAATAACCAACATGTCCATCCACCTCTTTCAAAACCCTGGCCATCTCTGTCGTATTATCCGGCCCATATGTGTGACCACTAAAATCCGGCTCTTCCCAATACAGAGAGGCAAACTTCAGCGATTTATCAGTGGTCATCCACTGCGTGATGTTTCCCAGTCTTTCTTTGAAGCTAACCCTAGAGTCGTATTTAAATGTGTATTTTAATGTGTGGTTTTGGATATTGACATCCGATCCAGGCCACATAGCGGATGCTGCATGATATCCAGACTCCTCCACGGACACCCATATCGGAGTGGCTTCGTCCCACCAGAAAGGGTCGCTGTCGTTTTTAATGGAGAAATGTTTTTTGGCCACTGGGTCGTACATGATACTGGCCAGCATCCCGTGGCTTTCTGCGTACAGCCCTGTGACCAGACTGTAATGATTGGGAAAGGTTTTGGTGGTGAACACATTGGTCAGCTCGTGTACGAGCACGCCATCTGAGAAGAACTTTTCGAGGTTGGGAAACGAGTATTTGTTGAGATAGTCTGCGCGGAAGCCGTCGAAGGACACTAGTAGGAGCGGTGGAGCTTCACTGCTTGATTTGTTGTTTGCGGTCGGCGCAGATAGAGTTAATCCACAACAGGCGATGAGAGCGCAGAGATAAGCGCTGATCTGCATCCTGTGGCGAACACGTGGCACTCGCTTTCTGCACTGTGAACACACAAAAGCTGTTTAGCGGAGACAGAGCAGCACTTGTTAAAGTGAACAAGTTTGTAGCCACATGGTCCTTCTCATTTACACACACAGACATACTGCACACACACAAACACAGGTTTGTTTCACTATCTTAGTGAGGACATTACACAGACTTCCATTGTTTTTCTATCAGGTTAATGACACTGTCAATAAACTAACCCTACCACTAAACCCTCACAGAAACAACTGCTCAACATTACACTGTAAGAAGTGATTTGTTACTTAAACAAGTTGACTTTACAAAAATAATGTAAGTAAACCCATTGTAACTTGAAACTGTTAAGTTGACATAATTTTTATAATTGTACTTAGGTCAACTAATCCGTTTTGACAGTGTCAGACTATTTTAGCAAGTCTGTTTTCAAATAAATACTGTAATAATTACAATATTACATATTTGGTGCATCATTAAGTCTATAAAATCTACAATTAAAGCCTGTATTGAATTAGAAGACACACTGTCTGAGTCTGGAAGAGTAGATTTATTTTATTCATTTTGCTAGATATAAAAAAGCTGGGAAGAAAAACAAATATAATAAAGGTGTATTGGAAAAAACGTGATTAGTTTACTTTTATTTTTTAAAGTGGTGAGTACAATTAGCATAATTATAAACATTCAGTCAACTTGAAAGTTCCAAGTTACGATGGGTTACTGATCACTTTTTACAGTGTCAGACTATTTTAGCACGTCTGTTTTCAAATAAATACCGTAATAATCATAATATTACATATTTGGTGTGCCATTAAGTCTATAAAAACTACAATTATAGCCTGTAGTGAATTAGAAGACACAGTGGAGTCTGGAAGAGTAGATTTGTTTTGCTGCATGTCATTTTGCTAGATATAAAAAGCTGGAAAAAAAACAAATATAATAAAGGTGTATTGGAAAAAGTGATTAGTTTAATTTTATTTTTTTAAAGTGAGAACAATAAGCATAATTATAAACATTCAGTCAACTTGAAAGTTCCAAGTTACAATGGATTTACTTACATTATTGTTGTAAAGTCAACTTGTTGCTTTTAAGGTAATTTGTTTACTCGCTTAAAGTAATTAATCACTTTTTGCAGTGTAGATGCTACACTGTAAAAGCCAACAGTCAACTTTATTAAATAAAATGAGTGTCATTAACTTAAAATTTAATGAAAGCTAATTCTAATCATTTGAAAAGAGTTTTGAACTCAGTGTTGAAGGCAATGAACTAATTAAATACCTCATTACTTCAACTTAAATGGAGTAAGTTCACAATACTCACATACTGTAGAATAGTTTTTTAACTCAAATGGTTTGTAGCAATCGGTTTCCTCAAATGGTTTAAGTTGCCTTAACTTTTTGGATTTTACAGTACTTGATTAGTTAGAGTTCTCTTCATTTCTCGGTTTTTGCTGTGGTCAAATTGCTTCTTTTACTCAAATGGATTAAGTTCCCAGTTCTCATTAAGATTCGTTTTAGAACTTAAATGGTTTGTTGCAAATTGGTTTCCTCAAACAGCTTGAGTAACCTTAACTTTTGGGGTTTTACAGTGTAATAAAAACATGTTCTGGACTATTTATAAGCACTTTTAAACAGAGAGGACTTGTGAATTATCGTTACTAGTGAGTTGTTTTAATGTAAGGAAAGACAATTGAGTCCTTACAAGTATAGCTTAAGCTGTACACACACAGACAAAACACTTTTAAAAGTCTATGATGCTGTTTAACTTGTGACTGTTACAAATCATTAACAACACATCCTAAATTACACTTATATTGCTCATGCGACCAGGGTTATTGCAGTTAATTACATTTAAAAATGTTGCAACCTGAAATTAAATAATCTTTAACTGGAATCAAACGCATTTATTTTGCTTAGATGCCACTGAAACGTTTACTTAAAAATAACTAAATAAAATAATAAAAAATGTATTAGTCATCTAAAAACAATAAAAATGACAAAGACACACATACTGAAAACTAGCTCAAATTTAAATAAACAAATATGGTCACGGAAGAACATTTCTATTTAGCGAAGCACAGCAAAACTAATAAACAAAAAAAAATCTAATTAGTCTAAAATTTACTGTTAAAAATATTAAATATTAAAACATATATACATATCAAATTTACAAGAAAAAAATTTTAATTACTTTGAAATAGTAATTTCAAATTCGTTCATTCATTCATTCATTTTCTTTTAGGCTTGATCCCTTCATTAATCAGGGGTTGCCACAGCAGAATGAACCGCCAACTTATCCAGCATACATTTTACACAGAAGGTGCCTTTCCAACTGCAACCCAACCATGGGAAACACCCATTCACTTTTGCACATACACTACGGCCAATGTAGCTTATTCAATTTCCTTATAGCGCATGTTTGGACTGTGGGGGAAACCGGAGCACCCAGAGGAAACCCACACCAACACAGGGAGAACATGCAAACTCCACACAGAAATGCCAACTGACCCAGCTGGCTCAAACCAGCGACCTTCTTGCTGTGAGGCAATTATATTCTTTAATTCATTAATGTTATACATTTTTCTCCACAAAAAGACTGTTTCAAATTGTGTTTTTTTTTCTGACTCTTTTTCTAAAAGTATGCTAACTATGTTAAATATTTTAACCAGTATAATTCAAGTCATGCCACAGGACTAACCATTAAACCAACCTTTGCACACAGAAGCTGAGTGACACTAGCAGGATATACTTAATATTCTATTCATATCCAAAACATGTGACAAGGTCAAAATAATATTCACTAACATATTTAGGAGAGATTTATGCAACAAATAATATCCTAAAAAAAACTTTTTCACAAAATGTTATTGACTCTAAGGTAAGAAAAAAAAATCACGTTATTGGCTAGATATAAAAGTACTATATTTGTTAAATATAAAATGATATAAAAACATTAAAATTACAAAAATACAAAACAGCAATTTTAAAAGGGGACATAAATATATGACAAATTAAATTAAAATTGTTAAAATGATAAATATTGCTAACATTTTAACTAAAAATTAACAGAAAAAATAAAAACTATTCGAAAATGGGCATAAAAAACACATGAATTCTATAATATGTGATATACATATTTTTCTCTACAAAAAGACTGTTTTGAATAGTGTTTTTCTTACTCGTTTTTTAAAAGTATGTTAACCCTGTTAAATATTTTAACTAGCATAATTCAACCATTAAACCAACCTCTGAACACAAAAGCTGAGTGACACTAGCAGGATATACTTAATAATCTATTCATGTTCAAAACATGTGACAAGGATGAAACAATATTCACTAAGATGTTTAGGAGAGATTTATACCACAAAAAATATTCTAATAAAACCTTTTCACAAACTATTATTGATTTTACGGATAAAAATTGCACATTATTGCTAGGTATAAAAATACTATATTTGTTAAGTAGGCCTATATATTTGAACGTAACGTTACATGTGTTTTATAAAATAAGGAAGTGATACAGGAAACACTGAAGGACAAAATGCTGTTCAAAAGCTAATTCTGATACTTATGCAGGTGCAAAACAGTCGCACTTATTAGAGCTAATCAATAACCTATGGAGGCCTCATAAACACTCATTTATATTACACTGTAACTCTAATCACATTACTGAAGATCTATTGATTATACGAGAGATGATCAATGACGGTTGGTCCAAACTAGAAACTCAAACAAACACGAAGGGAAAGAAACATAAACCTACCTTTTCGTCCCGAGACGCTGTTACTGTATATTCTAGCTACATTAAAATCCTCGATGATGTTGATAAAATAAATAAAGTCAGGTATGTTCGGGATCTGATGCAGTTGGTTTCTCTGGCGCTTCCTCAAACACAATGCCTGCATGACGTCATAACATGATTGAAAGGTCCGGCAGCCAATAGAAAGGAGGAACGTCCCACTGCAGGTGCTTTTCTCACGCTTTTACGATCAAACCTACTACGACACTGCTGTTAACTAATAGCAACTAATGTTAAAAATGATAAAACAGCTCAGAAGTCTCAAATTAGAATGATTTATGTAATTTTTCTCGTCAAAATACAATTTTAAGATTATAGCTGTTGGACAAACATGTGAACATGATAATAACACCTCAGTTTGTGTCTCTTTAGAGTCAGAATAATAAGAAAAACTACAGCAAAAAGCAAGTAAACAGATTTAGTGTTCACGCATGCGCACTCTTTAAAACCTGTAGTAAGAATACAACTCACTCGCTATCTATGAAACTGATTTAAAACTGTTAACGTTTTCATTATGTGTGGGAACGCAAAACTCGTTGAACACGCGTTTTCTTGTTTGTGAATGGACGCTCGACGTTTGACGCATAGTCATTAAAGCGTTTCATTTGACGCGACGCGTACGCTGGAATCTCCGACATCAACCAGTCAGAGCGCTGTAATTATAATAACCAAACGCAACGCGTCTTTCTTCACAGACATTAGAAGCCGCTCGACCAATAAGAAACCTCGCAGTATCGAGTCATGGACGCGTTTATTCGCAGTGGATGGGCTTTCATTCAGTGACTAAATGCGGTTTGGTGAAGGTAGGTTATTGTTTATTAACATTTTTTATTCCTCATATCGTCATGATAGCAAGGAGGAGCCCCTAGATTGCCTCCTCTAGCTCTGTCATTGAACAGCAGTTATTTTGTCTGGATTTTTTGTGTCGTCTGTTATATTTCTTCTGTTTCTGAATTTAAGAATTGACGTCACGTATGCATTCGCGCTTTTTACCTTGAAAGCAAACACGGGTTAAAGTTTTAAGAAAAATTGTGTATTAATTAGGGCTGTTTTTGACCTAAAACTATCTTTGAAATGTACTTCACACATGGTGATCAATGGACTACATGCAGCTGCACAATCTGTATTGATTGTATGTGTTTTTAATAATAATAATAATAATAATAATAATAATAATAATATATATATATATATATATATATATATATATATATATATATATATATATATATATATATATATATATATATATATATATATATATTGTCACCTTAGAATTATAAGGTTCCATCAGACATTTTTGTCAAAATTGAGCTATTGACATTCTTATTAAATGACAACTTATTTACATTATGGGATTATTTTATAAGACATTTTGTTAAGACTTTTTATTTTAAAAACAAATGTTGCACACATACTGTTTGCTACGAAATGCAAAAACTCTGAAGCTCAATATCTCAAAATCGTTTAGAACGCAGATAGAACCTTATAATTCCAAGGTGGCGATATATATATATATATATATATATATATATATATATATATATATATATATATATATATATATATATATATATATATATATTCAAATTAATACATTTTTTTTTTATTAGTAAGCCAATTTGTTTAAATAAGGAAAATGCAAGTAGGCTGAAATCATTTATCCTGTAATTTCAATATTTGAATCAGAATAGTAATTAAAATAAAATATAATTCATATATTTTTATATTTTAAATGTTTAATTAATTTATGTAAAAATATATTATGTAAACATTTTCATAATTAATTTTCTATAAAGCTGGTGTCATACAGTATATACTCTCTATCGACAACAGTTATTTCTAAATCAAAGTTCATATAGGAAAAGTACATTTTCATTAATTCTATTATAATATTTTTAACAAAACAATAATATAATGAAAATAACATTAATTGGAATATATGTTGTAAAATATGGGGCATCATGGTGTGTTTAGCACAGTCATCTCACAACAAGAAGGTTGCTGGTTTGAGCCTCGGATGGGTCAGATGGCATTTCTGTGTGGAGTTTGCGTGTTCTCCCTGTGTTGGTGTCGGTTCCCTCCGGGTGCTCCGGATATACGTGGATACAACATGCGGTATATGTGAATTAGGTAAACTAAATTGGCCATTGTGTATGAGTGTGTGTGTGAATGAGAATTGTGTATGAGAGCGTATGGGTGTTTTTCAGTACTGGGTTGCAGCTGGAAGGGCATCCACTGTGCAAAACATATGGATAAGTTGGTGGTTCATGGCGACCCCTGATAAATTAAGGGACTAAGCCTATGAAAGAAGGAAATTGTAAAATATGTACATTATACAAATATCATGTGTAAATATATTTTATAAGTATTTTAAATATTTTACCTTTTTAATTTGTTATGAATGAACTAAAAGTGTCAATTTAGCAGTTTTTCTCATGTGGTTTTGGCATTATGACAAGTCAACAACACTCAGCATGCTCTCATTACACTCAGGCCAAAATACAGATCTTATTGGGGGTACGGTGTCCTGTTGCTCAGTGTAATGCTAACGTCTCCATGAATTGGGGGCATCACAAAAATACAGAGCAGTGGGAAACATTTTGAGGCCATTCAATCTATTACATAGATCCTCTGTTTAGTGAGCCAACTTTTTCATCAGCTGGTCCTCCAAAGATCTTTCATGAATTCCTAATGGCATAAAGTCTGTCAGAAGTGGTTGACTTAAAATAAGAATCAGAACAGAAGTTGTTTAATGTGATTTCCTGATATGATGAATGCCTGATGGCCAGATCAGGAGTTTGTTGAGGTCTGGTTGATTAGAAACGGGAATGGTTCAGAGACGCTCTGGACTCAAGGGGTTCCCAGTTTAGCAGGCAGCTGCTGTGTCCTACATCTGCTCAACCTCAACCAGAGAAATGTGGAGTCCAGAAGACTGTCACCATCATGTAAACAACCTGCTTCTATATCTGACAGACTGCAGGTCAAGTTGAAGATACACAACAGCTCTGTAATCCCGCAACTGTTCTGCTTGTCAGTGAATTGTAAAAGAATGCTAATGGAATTCAGAACCAGTTGTTAGTTGGATTGTAAATTATGCTGGGTTGTATTAATCCAGTGTTGGGTTAAATAAGGACAAATGCAAGATTGGGTTAAGTTACATTTTTTTAACCCAAATGTTGGGTTTGTTCATACTTGACCAAGGATTGGGTTCAAGTGTAAAGTGACCAATAATTGTCACAATCCAGCCATTTGGTTAAGAAGTGTCATTTAAATTGAATTGCAAAACATTAACTCAACATTGGGTTATGGCAACCCAGCATTTATTCAATTCAATTCAGCTTTATTTGTATAGCGCTTTTACAATGTAGATTGTGTCAAAGCAGCTTCACATAAATGGTCATAGTAACTGGAACAGTGTGGTTCAGGTTTTAGTGTTTAAGTTCAGTTCAGTTTAGCTCAGTTCAGTGTGATTTAATCATTACTGAGAGTTCAAACACTGAAGAGCAAATTCATCGATGCGTAGCTCTACCAATCCTGAACCATGCAAGGCAGTGGCGACAGCGGAGAGGAAAAAAAAACTTCACCTGATGGGAGTGAAGAAAAAAAACCTTGAGAGAGCAAGACTCAGTTGGGTACGACCATTTTAATTTCTCCGCTGGCCAAAAGTCTTGTGCAGAGCTTCATTCGCCGTGGTTTAGGCTGGAAGATGGCCTCAGCGAAGACTCGTCTGTCCCTGGAGCGTCGCTGGAATCAGTCTCATTCATTTATTAGAGTGTAACTGTTCTGTTCTGCTTGTCAATAAATTCTAAAAAGAAGGCTAATGGAACTTGGTAACAATCCTATGATTCTAACAAAAAATGCTAAAGTTTATTGCAAAAAATTAACCCAACATTGGGGTTGTCCATATTTGACCCAATGTTGGGTTACGACAACCCAGCATTTTTTTAAGGGTGTAACTGTTCTGCTTGTCAATGAATTCTAAAAGAATGATAATGGAATTCAGAAGCAATCGTGTATTCTAAAAAATGCTGGGTTGTATTAACTCAGTGTTGGGTTAAATAAGGACAAATGCAATATTGCAAGATTAAAATTGTCATTTTTAAACCCAAATGTTGGGCTTGTTCATACTTGACCAAGCATTCGGTTCAAGTGTAAAGTGACCAACAATTGTCACAATCAAGCCATTTGGTTAGGAAGTGTCATTTAAATTTAATTGCAAAACATTAACCCAACATTGGGTTATGGCAACCCAGCATTTATTAGAGTGTAACTGTTCTGCTTGTCAATAAATTCTAAAAAGAAGCCTAATGGAATTCGAAAACAATCTTATGATTCTAACAAAAAACTGCTAGGTTGTTTTTGTTGGGTCAAATATGGACAAACCCAGGAATGTGATATTTGTGAATTACAATTTTACACAGTTGGGTTTGTTCATATTTGACCAAGCATTGAATTAAAATGTAAAGTGACCAATAATTGTCACAATCCAATTTGGTTGAAAAGTGTAGTTTAAATTTCAGTCTAAAAGATTACCCCAACATTGGGGTTGTCCATATTTGATATTATCCATATTTGATTCAATATTGGGTTACAACAACCCTGCATTTTTTTTATGGGTGTAACTGTTCTGCCTGTCAAGAAATTCTAAAAGAATGCTAATGGAATTCCGAAGCAATCGTGCATTCTAAAAAATGCTGGGTTGTATTAACCCAGTGTTGGGTTAAATAAGGACAAATGTAAGATTGCAAGATTAAAAGTTACATTTTAAACCCAAATGTTTGGCTTGTTGGGGTAAAGTGACCAAATAATTGTCTCAATCCAACCATTTGGTTAAAAAATGTCATTTAATTTTAATTGAAAATAATTGTTCATACTTGACCAAATGTTGGTTTACAATGACCCAGCATTTTTTAGAGTGCAACTATTCTGCTTGACAATAAATCCTAATTGATTGCTAATGAAATTTGGTACCAATCCTATAATTAAAAAAAATGCTGGGTTGTATTTTTTGGGTCGAAATAGACAAACCCAACAATGTGATATTTGTAAATTACATTTTTTAAAAATTGTCCATATTTGAAAGTGTAAAGTGACCCATAATTGTAATTGTCGCATTGGTCGGGCTCTAAAGTGAAAATTACATTCATTTTTTATATAGGGAAATGGATTTTTAACAAAACTAGCTGTGAGCTCTGAAAATGCTGGGTGATAATAAATTAATGTTGTGTCAAATATGGATAAACCCAGTGTTAGCTTAATTTTGTACGTTTCATTTAACAGAATCTGATCGTCAATACTGGTGTCTTGTGACAGTGGGTGGAGCCAAAGACCTATTTTTAGCATGTTTCTCAATACAACGCTCTAATTAGTGGAACCTCTGAGCAGCATCATAATGTAGGTTTGTTTTGCACAAATTTCACTATTAAACACATTTGTTTAAAAAAGGAGTTGAGTTCAAGCAAAAAGATGGGTTATAAAACTGATAAACAATCCCTTTAACTAAAATACAATCAAATATATTGATGGTGGCGCAGTAGGTAGTGCTGTCGCCTCACAGCAAGAAGGTCGCTGGTTTGAGCCTCGACTGGGTCAGTTGGCGTTTCTGTGTGGAGTTTGCATGTTCTCCCTGCGTCCGCGTGGGTTTCCTACGGGTTTCCCGCACAGTCCAAAGACATACGCTGTAGGTGAATTGGGTAAGCTAAATTGTCCGTAGTGTATGAGTGTTAATGAGTGTATGTAGATGTTTCCCAGAGATGGGTTGCGGCTGGAAGGGTGTCCGGCGCGTAAAACATATGCTGGATAAGTTGGCAGTTCATTCCGCTGTGGCACCCCCAGATTAATAAAAGGACTAAGCCGAAAAGAAAATGAATGAATGAATGAATCATATTGATGTAAATATACATATACTGTAGTAACCAAGGGAGCATTTTCGTTTTTTATTCAAGTGCTAAAATAACTAATGAATAAACTAAACCGTCATAGACATATTTAATGACAATAACAAATAAAATATACAGTAATACAACTCTAACGATACTCCAAATACATGTACCAACAAAACTAAGGTGTATTATCCACTGCAGTATGTGTTTGTTCGTAACCTGTATTGACCCACTTTCTTGCCATCAGTTTGTTTTCTTTGATATATTAAACATGCTCATTAGTACTTGTCATTTCTCAAATGTCAAGCACAAGGTTACAAGGAAGTGGCTATAAAGAAAGAAGACTAACTAGTAAAACAAGTGCTGGCACACTATTATGTTGATATAAACTGTCCTCATGACAGATCGACACAGGTAGGTTTCATTTACAGCAACATTTGTCGATTATAAGATGGATTTCACTTTTTAAAATGAATCTTATTACATTATTTATTCATTCATTCATTGGTGCACGATGTGACATTACTTTTGTGTTTCATTATATTTCAGATGCATCATTATTCAACAACATTCTCAGAAGTGAAACCAAAAAACTGCAAAAGAACATCAAATCTTGAGAGAGAGAAAATCAACGATAGATCATAAATAATATGTGATATAAAAGTGCTCTGAAACAAAAGAAGACTCATTGAATCTCTGTATATTTTAGATTCTAATCCAGCAGTTGGAGACATGCAGGTTTCTTGATTTTATCTTTGCTGCAAGTTTAAAATAAAACATCTCTGAAGCCAATGGAAGTGACACTGACACCAAAGACTTTGAGAGCCCCAGAATGGCCGCAAGAGGACCATCTTTCCAGTTTGAAGGCTTTAGCTGAGAAGTTAAAACTGGAGACCAGAAAGACGTCGTATCTGGACTGGAGAGCTCAGCTGGAGGTGATGCTAAACCAGAGCCACAGAGATGAAGAGATTAAAAAAACGGAGAAACCACACACAGAAAACACACTGAGGAATCAATCAGGACACATACGAGGGTTTGGAAGTATTGATCAAGCGCTGGAGTGGCTCAGGAAAGAGCTGGTGAGTTTGTCATACTTCACTTTAATGGAAAGCCATTAATATGCAGTTGAATACAGTGCTTTTTTCAACATATTTAAAAAATATGTATTTTCCTTTCATTGCAAAAATGACAGTGCATAATATTTTTCTACTTATTTTGTCAGATACTAGTAGTCAGGTTAAAGGGGACCTATTATGCAAAAAAAAAAAAAAACACTTTTATCAGGAATTTAAACAGTTGTCTTAGACAATACATATATATATATATATATATATATATATATATATATATATATATATATATATATATATATATATATATATATATATATATATTCATTCATTTTCTTGTCGGCTTAGTCCCTGTATTAATTCGGGGTCGCCACAGTGGAATGAACCGCCAACTTATCCAGCAAGTTTTTACGCAGCGGATGCCCTTCCAGCTGCTGGTAAAACGGAAAGAAAAAAAAAACATGACATGGAGAGCTATATTGATAAAAACAGCAACAATATTGTTGTGTAAAAGCTTAAATGAACGTTATAAAGCAAAAAAAAAAAAAAAAATATATATATATATATATATATATATATATATATATATACACACACACACACACACAACAGTTCTGTCTGGTTCTCGAATCTGATTGGCTGATAGCCGTGATATATTTAAGTAATATCAGCACCCGTACAGCCTCGTTACCCTTTGTGTATTACTCCGCCCACATACAGACAGGAAAAAGCAGACACTACAGATTTTAAAAGATGCTTGCTCAGCTGTTTAACTGTCAGCTTATGATTTGAATCCAATGTGAAAGAAAGTAGTTCCTCATACAAAAGCGTTTTTGAGACTCTCCATGTTTGATTTTGTTTTCATATACACAATTATGCCGTCAAACTGTTGTATAAACGCAATATCACACTCGTAGCAGTGCGATATGGCTTTATATAGGCACTGGTGGGAGGCGTGGGTTGACACGAGGCCACAGGCCGAATGCCTTAGTGCCCCCACCTGTGCCGATATACAACCATATCGCACTGCCACTTGTGTGATATTGCTCATATACACACACACACACAAACACACACACACACACACATATATATATATATATGTGTGTGTGTGTATATATATATGTATGTGTGTGTGTGTGTGTGTGTGTGTGTGTGTGTGTGTATATATATTTGTGTGTGTGTGTGTGTGTGTGTGTGTGTGTGTGTGTGTATAATATATATGAGCAATATCACACAAGTGGCAGTGCGATAAGGTTGTATGTCAGCACTGGTGGGAGGAGTGCGTTGACACGAGGCCACAGGCCGAGTGCCTTAGTGCCCCCACCAGTGCTGATATACAGCCATATCGCGCTGCTACGAGTGTGATATTGTGTTCATATATATATATATATATATATATATATATATATATATATATATATATATATATATATATATATATATATATATATATATACACAAACATCATTTGGTAAATATTTGAAAAGGAAAAAAGATTCTGATAATTATACTGGTTTCTCTTACAGATAGAGATGCGTCTTCAGGATCAGCAGCTCGCACTTCAGCTGATGCGTTTGCGCAGCGATATAAACGATCTGAGAATCGTGCAGACGTGCAACCAACACCGTGAGATGCTGAACGACGCCACCTTTGAGCTGGAGGAACGGGGCGACATGTCAGATTTATGTGATGTGCCATTGTCTCCTGGATTAGGCCTGTCCACACCGCTTAAAGTCATTGGTGTCACAAAAATGAACATCAACACCCGCCGCTTCTCCCTCTGCTGACAGACACACTTTATTCAAAGAGAATGACATTATAGAGTGCACTGTAAAGAATATCTGTAGATTAACAGTTTTCATATTTTCACGTGTTTACTGTTTATTTACGGTTGTGAATTGCATTATGGGATGTTGATCTCTGCTCTGTCCACTTTTAATGTTGAAAATGCTACTCTACAGTTTAACAAAGTGACTTATTGATCTTTTAGTAGTTTGATTTAATATAATGTATAAGAAATAGAGAGAAATGAGTGTGTAAATAACAAAAAATGTGCTGCAGTTTATTACAAGGTTTCTGTAGAGTAATGTACAACACCAACCCAGACAATACATCGCTTTGAACTATTAAAAATGTTCATAAAAGTAACTTATTGACCTTTTCAAGGTAAAAATTTAAATAAGAAAGTTCAAGGTCCCGTAATGCAATGCAAAAGCATAAATAAATGGGGAAAAATATAAACATGAATCACAAAATACGAAAACGGCTAATTTGTGGATATTTTTTACAGTGTAGATCTTGGACATTGACATTTTCAGCCTTTTACAGTTAAAGAGAATAAAAAAATGTTAGCCCTCCTGTGAAATTATAATATTGTTTTTAGGGTAAAATGTTTTCTGCAGAATGTTTTTTTTTTTTTACTTGACTGGAATATATACAGTTGAAGTCAGAATTGTTAGCCACCTTTGATTTTTTTTCTTCCTTTTTTAAATATTTCCCAAAATGAAAGAAAATAATTTTTTTCAACTAGAAAAAACATCACAAAATTCAAAACAACTATATTATACAAACATTTTAATTTATTTGTCCACAGAACAAGCCACTGTTATACAATGACAGTTACCTTAACTTGCCTAATTACCTTAATTACCTTAACTTGCCTAATTAACCATGTTAAGCCTTTAAATGTCACTTTAAGCTGAATACTAGTCTTTTGAAAAGTATCTAGTCAAATATTATTTACTGTCATCATGACAAAGATAAAGTTAAAAAATTAGTTATTAAAACGTATTCAATTTCTTTTCGGCTTAGTCCCTTTATTAATCTGGGGTCGCCACAGAAGAATGAACCGCCAACTTATCCAGCATTTGTTTTACGCAGCGGATATTTATTAAAACTATTATCTTTAAAATGGTTTTCTGTAAAACCTCACTTGGTAAATATTTGACACATAATTAAAACTTCACAGGAGGGCTAAAAAGTTTGTCTTTAACTGCATGTAATTTGCCTTAAATGGGAATTTCACACAGACTCTGAACACTGAATTTCTTTCACAAAATCACCCTAAAAGTCAGCAAGTGTGTGATCTTTTTAAAATAAAAAAAAAATTAAATAAAAATTCTCTGGTCAGAGAAATGAATGAGGAAAATAAAAGGGTTCCATTTTAAAGGGTTGAGTATTTTTTTAAACAACAAATAAATGGATATAACAGAGCAATATAATATACATTCATAATAAATTACATAAAAATATAGTCAACCTATATTATTGTACTTCATACATGATATATCTAATGTTTATTATAATGATGACAGCCACTTAAAAAAAGTTAATCATACAAATATTTACAATTCTGCTATGACATATCTAAAACTGGACAAAAGCATTTTCCCGAACAGCACTTCTCAGATAATCTTCAATTCAACAGACAAAACACAATGATCAGTATATGCTGTCATTACAGTGTGAACTGGTGTAAATCAACATTTCAAGGTGACTTTAAATATATCTTTTGTACAGTCTTGGTTGTGTTTGATATTACATAACATATTGACATAACTTTAGGAAAATGTAGCTTGAACTTTACTAAGGTCTTGTCTAAGGTCTATCAGCCTGGAGCTGAATCTTTCTGAATAAATCAATTCCTTGAAATGTATTTAACAATGTTCATGAATTCTATAAACACATAAGAAGATATTTCACTCTTTTCTTATTCAATAAAGTCAATATTTTATTGCTAAATTTTTTGTTTTTATTTTTGGGTGAAGGATGTTTATATGTTTACAGAGTTTACAATGTTCTTTTAAAGGGCCATGAAACACCCCTCCTGTCTCAGCAGGGGTTTTTTCTAGAGGTGTGAACCTATACTGGTCTCATGGTTCGGTTCGGTTACGATAATCATACGATTATCGATTTGGTTCGATATCACGGTGCATTGACGATGCTTTCCATACACAGTGTTATATTTTGGGGGGAGGCTATAACAAGCTCTCTGTATAAACACACAGCACCACACTGTCTCTCATTCACACACATACACAAACATAGACAGCACCAAACGAACACACACAAACACACTTAAGCCCTCGCAAAAGCAATAAAAAAAACGAAAAAAAGAGAGCAATGGTCGTAATTTTAACTAATTTTAAATTTAATTTTAACACTGCTCCATTTAAACCCTTGCCAATATGCGTTCAGCCGGGAGAGCTCGTGCCGAGCGGAGGTCTTAGTAAGGAACCGTCGGAAAAGTGCTTCTTTTTTTCTTTTTTTCCTCCGTCCTGCGTGTTTTATTTTAAACACAACTAATTTTCTCTTAAATGAGCACAAACAGTTACTAAAGTAGTCGAATGCTTCATTATAGATCTGTGCATTATTACATCAACACATCTGTTATCAAACAAAACACAATGAGAGATTCACTAGCTGCTCTTCACTAAATAACTCTAGTAACTTTAATCAATATGCAAATACAATCAAAAGTGAAATAGATTTTATAGCTTTATTTAATTCCTGGATAGGCCATTGATTTTAATAGGCTAAACCTTTTGTTTCATTGTCAATATTTTCTAATGTTTGCTATGTATTCTATAATTTGAATCTATTTGTTGTCCCATATTTTTTACATCCAACGTTGGACAGATTGCTAATCAATAAATAGCTATAGTGCTATCTGTTAGTTTTGACGTCAGCTAATGTTGTGGAAGGGCATAGATGTTATGGAAAAAAGTAATGGTAATGTAACTACCCCCATCATTCCTTCTTCAAGCAAATGCGTAAATATTAAATCTATTCAGCATTAATGTTAATTGCATTGGCATATTTATCTGATGTTTTCCCAGCTTGTAGTAGTCAATCAAAAAGCTATTTAGTTTGGCTATACAGTGGAATTTACTGCGATGTGACGGGGCGCCACCTGAAATCTTGCCTAGGGTGCCAAATTGCTTAGGGCCGGGCCTGGTGGGACACATATATGACTGTCAGCATCTCAAAAAATGTGTTTCACGACCCTTTAAAATTGTATTGTCTTATTGTATTTGCAGTGTGACAGATCTAAACATTTTAACCGCACTTTTAATATAAATATTAAAAAATGAACTAGTTTGGTTATTTATAATATTATAAATAAATGAGTCAAGTGTGAGTAAATGATGGTAGAATGTTCTTTTTTTTTTAAATAGTTTTATTTTAAGTTTTTCTAAGTACAACAGAGCACAACAAACAAACAATATTGTCTCAGAATATACACCTCATGCTGGTAAATATATGAATTGCTATACATGTGGGTTCAGCTGTTGAGGATACAAAATGTAGTGTTACACACAGGGGCGCAACTGCACATTTACTGATGGGTGTGCGGCTTCAACTTTTGTGCGCCCCCCTTCAAAACAACTATATTTTATAACAGGCAAGTGATAAAATAAATATAATAATATATAATAAATTAAAAGATATTTTTTCTTAAAGATATCAATATGCCTCGAAAAATACAGTTTCACAGTTCTGAACACAACTGAAATAGTATGAAGTAGTAAAAGGTATAATTACATTAAGCATGTTACGTCGCAAAGAAATGCATCTCATACTACCAGAAAAATTTTTTCTGTTTAATTTTCCCTCACTAAATGATTATAGCACCTTGACTAGCCTTGGTTTTGGACTTTTTGTACTACATTTGTCAAAACAAAATGATAGACATGGGAGTCCTAAAGGGCAAAAAAAAAAAAAACATTGCAATTACTTCTCACATGCATACTGTGAGAAGTGTAAGGTCTGTCTTTGCAAGAACAATTGACTGAAACTGCAAAAAGTGAAATAAAAAAGACTGTCAAATGTTTAGTGTAAAAAAAAAAACAGAAACAAACTGTGTGAAATGTTCTATTTAATTGAAATGTTATAACTTTGTTTGTAGCTAAAAGTAAAATAGTTTTGAGCAAAGAAGTTACCAAAAGGCCTGATGAATTAATATGATACATAATAAATTCATAGAAACATGCATATGGTATAAAAAATGGGGGGAGGGGTGGAATGATTTCTTTATTTAATAAAATACAATATTATACGCGTATAAAATGCTAAAGAAACATTATTAACAATATATATATATATATATATATATATATATATATATATATATATATATATATATATATATATATATATTATTTGAAACTTTTAAAATAGATAATTTCAAAAATAGTTTTGGCACAATGGCGCCCCCCATGTGTGGCGCCCCTATGAGCTGCATACCCCCTTTTTGCGCCACTGGTTACACAGTATGTAGACATCAAAAAGCCCCATAAGGTAGAATGTTCATTTTTGAGTGAACTGTCCCTTTAGCTAATATTAACTAATGCTACCTTATTGCGAGACGCGACCAATATTTCATAATATCATGCTGCATATCTCAAACCCTCTCACAGATATACTGTTGCTCATTGTGCAACAGTAAAATATGTCTCTGACAGGCTGCTATTGTTTTGAGAAAGGTGTGTATGCAAAGGTGCATTCTGCTGACCTCTCCCTGTGCGTGTGTGTTTTTAACCTGTTTGTTCAGTGTGTAAAGGCTAAAAGTGAAGCGACTCACCATGGAGGTGCCGTGGAACTTCAGGTTCGGGATCGTGATTTTAGGAGACTCTTTTGTGGGGAAATCCTCTCTTCTTCATCGCTTCACTGAAGGCACGTTCGAGGAGGCCCGTCAGTCTCCTCTGGGAATCGATTTTAAGGTGCATAACATGAAGATTGAGCCTAATGTGCTGATTAAACTGCTTCTGTGGGACACGGCAGGACAGGAGAGATTCAGGTCAGTGCTGCTCAGATAAACAAACATGCTGTGGGTCACTTTCTGCTCACTCGTTCAGCTGTTTGAAACCGAAAACTTACCCCAAACAGGCTAAGGGGGAAAATAATCCTTATTAAGAATTATTAAAAATAAAGGTGATATTAAAATTAAATAATTAATTAAAATAAAAAAGTCTAATCAAGCACCAATTCACATTCCACAACTTCAGACTTTCAAAGCTTCTTCAATATCTCAATTTCAAAAACACCGTATAACAAATTTCAGAGGATTTTCTCCATATTATATATACAGTTGAAGTCAGAATTATTAGTCCCCCTGTTTATTTTTTCCCCCAAATTTCTGTTTAACGGAGAGCAGATTTCTTCAACACATTTCTAAACATAATAGTTTTAATAACTCATCTCTAATAACTGATTTATTTTATCTTTGTCATGATGACAGTAAATAATATTTGACTAGATTTTTTTCAAGACACTTCTATACAGCTTAAAGTGACATTTAAAGGCTAAACTAGGTTAATTAGGTTAGGCACGTTAGGGTAATTTGGCAAGTTATTGTATAACGATGGTTTGTTCTGTAGGCTGACAAAAAAAAAATAGCTGAAAGGGGCTAATCATTTGGATCTGATTTAAAAAATTAAAAACTGCATA